GAGGAAGAAGAAGCAAATCCTTGAAAACCTCCATTTCTTTTATGGGGTGGAATGTATTTTCTTTGAAGATTTTTAGCTTGATAAGGGCTTAAGCTTTCATTCCACAATGGAACATATGCCTTTGAATAAGGGTGAGCAAATGTAGCATTAATTTGTTCAAAGTGTTCATTAACAACACGTCCATGGGGACAATTGAAAGTAGTATGCAAAACACTTGAACATGTCATGCAAGGCTTATAAAGATAAGTTGTATGATGAAAAGGAGATGAATTGTTAGCCGGTTTTTGATTCAACAAGAATTGAACAAATTTTTTAGAAAGAGTTTTAATCTCGGCTACAATTTCCAATGGACTCTCTACTTGACACACTTGTAATTCTCTCTTCTTTTCTTTTGAACCATGGTTAAATCGAGAAACATAGTATTTTTGCAAAGAATGTTCGCTCATTTTCTCAAAAAGGTTCTAAATGTCATCTCCATGTTTTTCAAAATATGATCCTCCACACGATGTATCAACAATGTTTTTATGAAAGTCGGATAGGCCCTCATAGAAATATTGAACCACTTGCCATTTCGGAATGCCATGATGAGGGCATTTGCTTAGCAAATCGTTCAATCTTTCACAAGCCTCATGTAACCACTCTCCTTCCCTTTGAGAGAATTCTCTAATAGAAGCATGCATTGCATTAGTCAAACTTACGGGGTAAAATTTTGTTAAAAATTCATTTTGCATTTGTGTCCAAGATGTTATTGAATTTGCCCCCAAAGTGTTAAACCAATGCTTTACTTTGTTTTTAAGAGTAAAAAGGAAGAGAAGTAGTCTAAAGACTTCCTCCGGAACATCCATGTATCTAACGGTGGAACATATTTCAAAGAATTCATTAAGATACTTATAAGGCTCCTCATCATCTAAGCCATAAAAGAGTAGACACATTTGAATGGTCTCGGGCTTGATTTCATAATGATTTGCCTCAAAATTAGGTAACACAATGCAAGTAGGTGCATGATGTGTATGAAGATGGTAATGATCACGAAGGACCATTGGAAGAATTGGAGCTTGAACTTCGGGACCGTGTTGGTTAGGAAGAGGGTTTTGCATGGAATGTGGATCTAAGTAGCCAAGTTTACCTTCTAAGTTTTCCATGGAAATGCCTAGAATGAATAATATGACAAGTTCTACAAAAGACTACAAATGACACACTAAACACAACAAAACAAACACTCCTCCTTCGCAACAAGTCAATGATCGACAAACTTCCTCCACATACAATGATCCCATACTCCCATGCTTTGACAATAATAATGCAATGACAAGAAAAATGCCTCCACGCGGGCTCACGATTTATCTACAAATGAAATGCAATGCCTCCACGCGAGCTTACGATTTAACTAAGGAGATTGAGTCAAGAAAGTCTCACAAAGGTCCTATAGCACTTCAACTCCAAATTTAGCTTAGTTTAGAATTTTTTTTTTTTTTTTTTAAATTTTTAGCTTTTTCCTTTATTTTGCTTTGCTTTGCTCCTTAGCTTGGATGCTCCTTTGCTTGGCTTCTCTCCAACAATACACCTAGTCAAGTAAGAACAAACACAATAAATAACCAAAAAGAAGAATGAAATCAAAGTAAAGTAAAGACACGATCAAAAGAGTACTAATCCTAATTGAATTCCATAAATTCGACGTCGCCTAATCAAATCAATCAATCCCCGACAACGGCGTCAAAAACTTGATGGATCTCCTTAGAGTGTCGCTACACCATCAGCTTAAGAGTATGTGCATTAAGGCGAGGGCCAAGTTTTACATTTATAAAAGCCACTACTACCTTTCACTAAAAATATAGCTAAGGTGAGTAGGGATCGCCCCAAGGGATTGTGAGGATCGAGCAATGTCGTGGAATCGTTATTAGGGCTAGTAGGTCGAGTGATCAAACAATTGGTTGGTTGGTTGATTAAAGAGCAACTAAATTAGACTAAGTGGTAGCAAAAGAATGCAATTAAGAGTAAGTAAGAGAGAGAGATCTTGGGGTTTAGAGATCACCACCAAGCAATGCATTTCTATATCATTGACAAGTGATTAATGAGGGCAAATGGTGTGTTGCAATATTGGTGTGTGTGTGTGTTTGGTTGATTCAACAAGAAAGGATGACTAGTTAAGCATGTATTATCTAAATATCATGTGAAAGGCACAATATATCTAAGCAATGAAGCATATATTGTCTAAACAACATGTGAAATGCACAATAGATCAAAACAGGTCATTAATCTTTTCATTAAGCTCATAATCCAAATACAACACAAGGATAGAGACATATGTTACTTGCATTCAAAAGTTTGGATCATCAAACAACATGCATAGATTATCCTCCCATTTAACACTACACTACAACTACACTACATCTACACTACTAGCATGAAAATAAACTAGGGGAGAGGCACAATCCATCAAGGAATAAGTATGAACCATCAAGAGAATCATAAGAGCATTCTTTTAAGCACTATGTTTTGACAATCTCTAAATCTATAGCATCAATACACATAGACATGCATCAATAACACAAAATCTAGAGACAAGCACATGAACATCTATTCTAGCATACATAGACATATAGATAGAGTGAAATGATCAATTGGAAGCATTAAACCACATAAATCATTGAATAAATAAGATTTATATATATCAAAATGTCAAAACATTAATTACAACACTAATCCCTCAATGATACACAAGATTAAGATATAGAAAACATGCTTGGGACTAACTCTAGCCCCAAGATGATGTCTAGCCACTCATGGTGATGATGCTCCAACCCTCAAGGGCTAATTCCATGGTTGAAATCTGCTCCTTGTTGATGAAGAACTCCAATGGTGTCTCTAGCCTCCCTTCCTCTAAACTTCTTCTTCAAGAGATGATATGAAAATAATGTTGGCTCTCCCTTGTAAAAAGCAATCCTTATCCTTATATAGGTAGGTCAAAATGACACCCAAAATGAGCTGGGGTCGTGCACACAATATTCCCTAATGATTGGATAAAGGATAACTTTCAATGAGATGGAAATTTAACTTTTTCGCACTGGAGGAAGTTCGATCGATCGAACCTTGGTCTTGGATCGATCGAACTGGCTGAGATCTATCGAACTTAGGCTGGATCGATCCAACTGGCCGAGCTTTTTGGAAAAAGACAAATCCGAGATATTTTGGGAGATATTTATGGGAAAAGGACAAAAGAGGTTAGTGGGTGGTACAGCTGTGGATCAGATCAATCATTTGAATAAGGACAAAAGTGTTCGATCGATCGAAGGATGGTGTTGGATTGATTGAACTTTGGACTTCCTGCTTTAGGTCAAGGTTTGGATCTATCTTGAAGTGCTGAGATCGATCAGTGTTCGATCGATCGAACCTTGAAGTTGGATCGATCGAACTTTGCTGCTTTCCACCTTTGACTTCATTTGCTTCCTTCTTTCTCCACTTTGTTCCTTTCTTTGTTTAATCCTAGAATTGCTTCAATTAAGCTCTTATTTGACTGAGTTAGCTTATTTTCAGGATAAGTGCCTGAAAATGGAAATAATACGAAATCAATTTAAAACGGTAAAGTAAGATAGATAAAGGTACTAGAATGCCTAAGCTTAAGAGGTTTAAATACGCATTTTTCAACGCTCATCACACCCCCAAACTTAAATATTGCTAGTCCCTAGCAATGAACTAGAAAGTAAAGGAATGAAATGAACAACTATACAATTATGAACTAGAAAACAGTAAATAGATAACGCCACTTTCGTAGGGAACACGATTACATTTAGCATATGCAAGAAGCCTTTTAAACCCTAGGTTATCCCTAGTGAACGAGTGAAGTCTCATGAGGGTTTCCAGAAATGATACCCACAAACATTAAACTCATTCTCACTAAAGAGGCACCAATATTTCAAACAAGTATTGGGAAAAAACTACCTCAAGTATGCAATTTTTCAAACATTTCTAAGCAATCTCTTAAAATTTCAACATCAAGCAAACAAATATGGTCTTCCACACATCAAGAAAATGATCATGCAAATCAAAACAACTCTAGAATCCTTTTGAGTGGACCGACATCAAATATGGTAATATATTAGCCAACTAAAGAATTAATAGCATCCTTACCCTCAAACTACACACAAATCTAGTACCGATCATCAATACAAAAGGTGGACCTTTTATTAAAGCTTTATTCATCTAGGTGCGCTTATTCTTTTCACTCATTTTTTTTTAATTTTTTATTTTTTATCTTCATTGAATAAACAAAAACTCTATCGCATTAGACAAAGATATATTTAAAGAGTATCTATAAAACTCTAACACAAATTACCTAATTATACGAGTATTATTAATATAAAAAATTGGAAATCTAATTATACGAGTATTATTAATATATATATATATATATATATATATATATATATTTTAAAAAATAAAATAATTTATATAAAACTCTATCACAAATTATCTATTTTATTTTCAATAAAATTTTATCACATTAGACAAAATATAATTAAAGAGTTTCTATAAAATTCTAATACAAATTACCTATTTATCTACTTATTTTATTTAAAATTCAATCAAGATGGCACATGTTCTATACATAGAGGCATGGAGGAAGGAGGAAAGGAGACTGAAGTTAAGAATTTTAGAAATCTCCAGAAATCCAGACGGTCTTGAGAGACTCAGAAGTGTAGAATATCAAATCATCTGTGCTCGGAAGAACTCTCTTTATTCTAAATGAAGTCAAAAGCCTTTGAAAATGGAATTTCTTGGAAGAACTCTCTTTATTCTTAATGAAAATCATTATGGCATGGGACCTGACTTGTGTATGGTTTGTATTATTGGATTTTGAGATGTGTTGTTGAGTGGGGTTCAAAAACACTTATCAGGGAGACGAATTAATGACTTGGCAGGTCTCCTCCAAACATGAAATTTTATAATTTTTATATTCTGAGTAACATACATGGAAGGAGAATTTGGAAGGTTTTGAACTCATGTCTTGGAGTTGTGGAATTTTGACTAGATGGTCACTGATTGCTGGTAGAATTCCGGGGAGGACGGCAAATGATGTGAAGAACTACTGGTACACCCACCTCCAGAATAAGCCTGTGGATTGCGAAGAAGTTGCAATTACCAAAGCCATAAAATCTCGACCTCGGAGATTTTTGAGACAGTACTCTCGCTCAGATGAAATTATGTGGTGGGATAACATGGTTGTTGACATGGAATTAATTGAGTCCATGGGTGGCTCAGATGAGGAGCTCATTACAAGCCTTTGGCCTGATGAAGTAGCTGCTGGAGTCAATATTGCAAGTGGACATGAGTAAGAAATCTTGTTGGACACTGTTTATTGGTGTCGCCAAAAACCGAGATTCGGCACCGTGGCCTTACTCTTTTGTGTTTTGAAGTTTAAAATTTGGAAATCTATAGTTTGGCCGAGTTGGCTTTTACTCTCTTCTTGTAACCTTGCTCTTTCTTGTCCTCTGTTGAGTTTGTTGCTTAGAAAATTTATAACTCTTCAAATTAGCTAATAAAATTCAAATTACAAATTACCTAACAAAATTTAAATTACTATAAAATTATAAAAAATTTATTAATTAGTATAAAAAATCTATATTATTATTAAAAGAGTTTCTATAAAACTCTAATACAAAATATATCTATATTTATCCATACTATTATTAAATGTGCAAAGAGTTTTTTACTATTTCAGTATTTATTTATTAATAATATCAAAAATATTTATTAATTGATAAAAAACTCTAAAAATTACCTAATAAAATTCAAATTACCTATTTATCTATTTGTTTCTAAAAAATTACCTGATAAAATAAATCACCAATTTCAAATTACCTAATAAAATTCAAATTACAAAAATAGTTTTTATAAAAATGGTTTCTATAAAACTATAAAATATTCATTAATTAGTATTAAAAAATCTATATTATTATTAAAAGAGTTTCTATAAAACTCAATCACCAAATAAAAAAAATAAAAAAAAATTATTAATTAATATAAAAATCGTTTCTATAAAACTATAAAATATTTACTAATTAATATAAAATATTTATTAATTGATATAAAAAGAGTTTTTATAAAAATAGTTTCTATAAAACTCTAAAAATTACCAAATAAAATGTATCACCATTTTCAAATTACCTAATAAAATTCAAATTACAAATTACCTAATAAATCTAATTTCTATAAAACTCTAACAAAATATAAAAACAAATTACCTAACAAAATTTAAATTACAAAAAATAGTTTTTATAAAAAGAGTTTCTATAAAACTATAAAATAATTATTAATTAATATAAAATAATTATTAATTAATATAAATATACTTTTATTAAAAGAGTTTTTATAAAACTCTAAAAATTAGCTAATAAAATCAATCACCACTTTTAAATTACCTAATAAAATTCAAATTAAAAATTACTTAATAAATCTATACTATTATTAAAAGAGTTTTTATAAAACTCTAACACAAAATATAAAAGAATATCACCATTTTAAATTACCTAATAAAATTTAAATTACAAAAGAGTTTTTATAAAAAGAGTTTCTATAAAACTATAAAATATTTATTAATTAGTATAAAAATATATATACTATTATTGAAAGAGTTTCTATAAAACTCTAACACAAAATATAAAAAAATATTTATTAATTAATATAAAAAGAATTTTTATAAAAAGAGTTTCTATAAAACTCTAAAAATTACATAATAAATTTCAAATTACCTATTTTATCTATTTATTTCTAAAAAAACTATACTATTATTAAAATAAATTCAAATTACCTATAAAAATTACCTATAAAATTCAAATTACCTATAAAATTCTAAAAATTACCTATAAAATTCAAAATTACCTATAAAATTCAACACAAAATATAAAAAATATTTATTAATTAATATAAAATTAGTTTTTATAAAAGGAGTTTCTATAAAACTATAATTGAAAGAATTAACACTTGACAATGATTCATTTCATGAAGAAATGAGATATACAAAAAAAGATAAAGATTGAGAAATAAATAATTTAGGAACATTTTTTTTTATAAAGAGTTATAGTTTAGGAATTCTTAAAATTATAGTTTGGAATAGTTTGTGATACCTTTTAAGTACCTTTCGGATTTTCTAATATATTTTGTTTCTTTTGAAGTGACAATTATCACAATCTAAACATTGTTGGTATCCTTTCGGATTTTCTAATATATCATACTTAGGATGATTTATTCATCAATGAAAAACCTTATTTTGCTTCTTTTGAGGTGACCATTATCACTCTCTAAACATTATTGATATGATTTCATTTAATATCTGACAATATCATACAACGAAAACTATAAATAATTAAAAAATATATGAAAATAAAAATTTGATAAATTACAAAACATTCATCATGTGCAACACAAGTGTCTTTTCCTAGTATATATGTGTGTGTGTGTATGTGTGTGTAAGCACAATAGACATATATACACACACATATATATACACACACACACACACAACTGACATATACATATATACACACACAACAGTGACATATATATATATATACAAGCACAACTGACATATATATATATATATATATATATATATATATATATATATATATATATATAATTAAATGTGCAAAGTGTTTCAGTATTTCAGTATTTCAGTATTTATTTATTAATTGATATAAATTCTATAAAACTCAAAATTACCTAATAAAATAAAATTAATTCAAATTAAAAAAATATATAAAAAGTTTAATTCAAATTACAAAGTTTCACATTGGTTTTAAATAAAAATGATTACATGAAAGTCTCTTATAAAACTATAGAGTAAGAAAAATAATAATCACACCTTCTTAGCCTTTTGGCTAAGATCAAGTGTAATACTAAATTTTTTTGGGTCGGCCTTTTGTCTAACCTTTCTTGGTCTTTTGGCTAAGATCAAGTGTAATACCACTTCCTCGGCCTTTGTACAAAGAATTTAAGTATTTATTTATTAATTGATATAAATTCCATAAAACTCAAAATTACCTAATAGAATTCAAATTAATTTAAATTAACAAAATATAAAAAATTTTAATTCACAATAAAGAGCTCTCATTAATTATTATATCCCACGATATAAATTTTATATCTATATCTATACTATTATTAAATGTGCAAAGTGTTTCAATATTTCAGTATTTATTTATTAATTGATATAAATTCTATAAAACTCAAAATTACCTAATAAAATTAAAATTAATTCAAATTAACAAAATACAAAAAGAGTTTAATTCAAATTACAAAGTCCCACATTGGTTTTCAGTAAAAATGATTACATGAAAGCCTCTTATAAAACTATAGAGCTAAATAAATAATAATCACTCCTTCTCGACCTTTTGGCTAAGATCAAGTGTAGTACTAAATTTTTTTGGGTTGGCCTTTTGGCTAACCTTTCTTGGTCTTATGGCAAGATCAAGTGTAGTACTACTTTCTCGGCCTTTGTGCAAAAAGTTTCAGTATTTATTTATTAATTGATATAAATTCTATAAAGCTCAAAATTACCTAATAAAATTAAAATTAATTCAAATCTATATCTATATCTATACTATTATTAAATGTGCAAAGTGTTTCAGTATTTCAGTATTTATTTATTAATTGATATAAATTCTATAAAACTCAAAATTACCTAATAAAATTAAAATTAATTCAAATAAACAAAATATAAAAATAGTTTAATTCAAATTACAAAGTCCCACATTGGTTTTAAGTAAAAATAATTACATGAAAGCCTCTTATAAAACTATAGAGCTAAAGAAATAATAATCACACCTTCTCGGCCTTTTGGCTAAGATCAAGTGTAATATTAAATTTTTTTGGGTCGGCCTTTTGGCTAACCTTTCTTGGTCTTTTGGCTAAGATCAAATGTAGTATTACTTTCTCGGCCTTTATGCAAAGAGTTTTAATATTTATTTATTAATTGATATAAATTCTATAAAACTCAAAATTATCTAATAAAATTCAAATTAATTCAAATTAACAAAATATAAAAGAGTTTAATTCACAATAAAGAGTTCTCATTAATTATTATATCCCATGATATAAATTCTATATCTATATCTATACTATTATTAAATGTGCAAAGTGTTTCAGTATTTCAATATTTATTTATTAATTGATATAAATTCTATAAAACTCAAAATTACCTAATAAAATTAAAATTAATTCAATTTAACAAAATATAAAAAGAGTTTAATTCAAATTACAAAGTCCTACATTGGTTTTAAGTAAAAATGATTATATGAAAGCCTCTCATAAAACTATAGAGCTAAAGAAACAATAATCACACCTTCTCGGCCTTTTGGCTAAGATCAAGTGTTGTACTAAATTTATTTGGGTTGGCCTTTTGGTTAACATTTCTTAGTCTTATGGCTAAGATCAAGTGTAATACTACTTTCTTGGCCTTTGTGTAAAGAGTTTCAGTATTTATTTATTAATTGATATAAATTCTATAAAACTTAAAATTACCTAATAAAATTCAAATTAACAAAATATAAAAGAGCTTAATTCACAAAAAGAGCTCTAATTAATTATTATATCCCACGATATAAATTCTATTAAACTCAAAATTATCTAATAAAATTCAAATTAACAAAACAAGTATTTATTTATTAATTGATATAAATTCTATAAAACTCAAAATTACTTAATAAAATTAAAATTAATTCAAATTAACAAAATATAAAAAGAGCTTAATTCAAATTACAAAGTCCCACATTGGTTTTAAGTAAAAATGATTACATGAAAGCCTTTTATAAAACTATAGAGCTAAAGAAATAATAATAACATCTTCTCGGCCTTTTGGCTAAGATCAAGTGTAGTACTAAATTTTTTTAGGTTAGCCTTTTGGCTAACCTTTCTTGGTCTTTTGGCTAAGATCAAGTGTAGTACTACTTTCTCGGCGTTTATGCAAAGATTTTCTATATTTATTTATTAATTGATATAAATTTTATAAAACTCAAAATTAATAACCAACCAAACAGGACCCAAAGTTCTGAAACTTAGCACATGCTTCTTAGCACATGCTTTCACGGTAGTAAATTATAATAGCAGTAATTACTTAATAAAATTCAAATTAACAAAATATAAAAAGAATTTAATTCACAATTCAAATTATACTATACTACTCTCATTAATAAAAACCTATTCACAAAAAGAGTTTAATTCACGTTAAAGAGTTTATTTATTATATCTCACAATCAATAAAGAGTTTAATTAAAATTCAAATTATACTAAAATTCAAAACATATAATAATTAATTTTTCTAATATAATATTTATTA